GGAAGGGCTGGGCGCAGCAACAACTCTGACGACAGCGGGCATAATTGTCGCGAATTTATCAAGCCCGCATCCAACACGGACAAGGAAATCGCGGCAATTAATGAGTCGAACGCGAAGTGCCAAGCCATCACCGTACCAATTAAGACCCCAAGCGATGACTATAAGAGACGGACGGATAATTATAGTACGCACGCGAATGACCGCTACGAACTATAAATACCGTGCAGTCTGTGCATGTTTCACCCTTATCTGCGCATGGCTCCGATTATCCCACCATTACCCATGATTAAGGATTCCCGACGGAATCCAAAACTTCAGGAAAATAAAACTCTTGTTTCAGTGGCCACATCTTCTTCTTATGAACTCTTTCTCGGAACTCGCATATTCAATTCTATTAGTTACCTCATTGGTGAATTCGGATTTCGTGTGATTGATTTCCCCCAGTTCGCAACTGTTTTGATGCCATCAACGACTACAAGTGAACCACCATAAAGAGTTACTTATCACTAGTCAACATTATTGCATTAAAGATGCATGCGCTGATGTTCGCAGACGATTACCACCTTAAGAATCGAAATAATCACAAACAATGAACGAGGTCAGAGACCTTATCTAGTACAGCGAGGTTGCAGATTGCAAGCGCGGCGGCAGAAAGTCCAGGTGTCACACCTGCATACAAGTCCTGCGACAATCCGTGCCCCCAAGCGGAGCCCACAGAAACTGATAATTATAATACGCACGCGGATGACCGCTCCGAACTATAAATACCGTGCAATCTGTGCATGTATTACCCTTATCTGCACATACCTCAGACCTTTCTACGATTACCTATGATTAAGGTTTCCCAACAGAGTACGAAACGTCAGGACAATAAAACTCTTGTTCCAGTGGTCGCCTCTTCTTCTTCTGAACTGCATCCTGAAACTCGGATATTTTTCTCTCTTTACGTCGTCTTCTGGCGACTCAGTGCCGTTTGAAGTACTTGCTAGTCACTTCTTGTTTTTAGAGAGTAATCCTTCCCATTTTGCGATAACTGTTGTTCTTCCTTGCCATGGTTGTTGGTCATGACCAGCTCGTTTGATCTAAATCATTTTCCTTACCGGCATACTTGTTGGCACAGTTAAAACAGTTGATTTGTAAGCACAGACTGGATAAGAATTTAGGAGGATTAAACACCTTTTTTTAAAAAGCCCACATCTACGTTAACCTAAGATTCTGCCACTCACCAGACTTTCGCATTACACTTACACAGAGGGAACACCCATGTGTTTACGGCGTCCTCTGGCGACTCTGTCCTTTGAAGTACTTGCTAGCCAGTTTTCCTTTCTAGAGAGTAATCCGTCTCATTTTGGAGTAAATGTTGTTCTTTCTTGCCACGGCTGTTGTCCGGCTCTTCCTCCGGACCAGTTCGTTTGATATAGACCGTTTTCCTTCTCGCTATATAAGCAGAATTGGCCTTTAGTTCTGGTTTATTGTTCACTTGCTGTTTCTTGTGTCCACACCGCAGACGTCAATTGAGCCCTCGAACACCCCTGGGTTACAGTCATCCACTGCCTCTGTCCGGTCTGCCTATCCGGTGTCCGCCCTTCCTGACGAAGATCCTGACGCAACTACCGGCAAATCCCACGTCGACTGAGTCCACCTCCCCCATGTCTCCAAGGCACTGCCGTCCTTTGCTATTTTGCAAACTTTTGTGAGTAATTTAAACGGACTTCTAGCTATTACTATGATGAATCATTTGAAGTTTAAGCACTTCTGTTGTGAGCCAGTGGATATTACGCGGCTACCTCGACGTAACTGGGTAGATTTTACGGTAAGGGTTCCTTATAAGTAACAACTTAGTTTACTATGCGTAATTAACAACTTACTTCGATGTAGTTTATTATTCATTTTTGTTTAGTTATCCGTTCATTTTTTTATTATTTATTTTTATCAGTTTTAGTTTAGGTTTTAGTTTAGTTACTTTACTTTATTGTAGTTTAGTTTTAGGGCAATGGTATTTTAAGTTGTGCACCTCATATACCTCTGCTCCCAGCATTTTCTCCCACGGAGACAGTGGTTGTATGGGTTTTATGTTTGTGAAATTAGGATAGGCAGTAGAATATGCCTTAACAACTGCTATATGCATTTATATATGATTGTATTTAGAAATGTTGTTGAGTTATAGCTGCAAAATTTCCTAATCTGTATTATCTTTTAACGTAGTGCGAAAAAACTCGATTATCAAAATGTAGGTTTCTTGAAATTCCTGAAAAAAAAAATAGAAATGGTAGTTAGGCGGTCGTTTAGTTCAACTTACTGTTCTGCAGTTAGATTAGTCTCAATACAAGCGAACATGCGAGTCCCAGAAAGTAATTGAGGAGAAGAAGACGACTCCACAAAACTGCACAAAACAGCACAAAAATACTTCAGCAGAAATTGCTTGAACGAGCCCGAAACAAACAAGCAACTATATATGTTCCAGCAATCGAGTCGTCTTCTTCTCAGTTAGATTAGTATAGTCGGTGCCTCAAATCGCCGAGCACGCCTTCAATTTACATG